ACAAACTAGCCCTGATATTTTTCTGTCTTCCTGTAAAAACTACTCCTTTGGTTCTTACTGCTCACACAACACCATATCATGGTTTGCTTTCTGCAGTAGGAGAATGTATTGTGTTTTCATTGGAAAGACCTTTGGTGTGTTACCTTAGAATTTTTACTTTTGCTGGAAAGTGCTGGAATTTCTGTCTTACTTGTTGTTTCCCACAATTTAGGCAGCATCTCCTAGTTGCAAGAGGGAAAAATAATGGAATTTATTCAATTTGTTTTTCTCCAGATTTGAGGTGTTAATGAGAATTGTTAATTCATCTCTGACTTCTGATACATGAGGACCAAGTCAGCCTTGCCAAACAGGGCTGTTCCATTCTCCTCCAGAAGCTATTGTATTTTTACTTGACTATCACCTTTGAGGTTTATGACTTTGAGCTCTTCCTGTCTTGTGTATTTGCTGCTGGAGAACCAACCTACTTACCTGTTTGCTCTCTACTTTCTTTCCTTCCTTTTCTTTTTGATGTTGGTTGAAGACAGGAGATTATGTGAAGAAGCTTTCATTCACTACTTTATCCCAGAAGTCTTCATGTTTTTTTTTTTTAATTGTGAAAAAATACACATAACATAAAATTTGCCATCTTAACCATTTTTAAGTATACAGTTCAGTGGCATTAGGTACATTTACATTGTGCAACCATCACCACCATCTATCTGTGGAACAGTTTTCATCTTGCACAACTAAAACTACCCATTAAACAGTAACTACAGAGGCCAAAGTAGGCAGATCACAAGGTCAGGAGATCGAGACCATCTTGGCTAACACGGTGAAACCCCGTCTCTACTAAAAAAATTTTAAAAATTAGCCTGGCGTGGTGGTGGGCACCTGTAATCCTAGCTACTCGGGAGGCTGAGGCAGGAGAATGGTGTGAACCCAGGAGGTGGAGCTCACAGTGAGCCAAGATGGCACCACTACGCTTAAGCCTGGGCGACAGAGCAAGACTCCATCTCAAAAAAAAATGAAATAAAATAAAACAATAACTCCATATTCACCCCAACCGCCTTTTTCTTGTTTGTTTGTTTTAAAATTTACATTATATAAGAATGTTTCTGTACTGATATGGTTTGGCTCCCTGTCCCCACTCAAATCTCATGTTCTGTTGTAATTCCCAGTGTTGGAGGTGGGGCCTGGTGAGAGGTGATTGGATCATGGGGATGGTTTCTGATGGTTTGGCACCATTCCCCTAGTGCTGCCTCAATGACAGAATTCTCACAAGATCTGACTTAAAAGTGTGTAGCATCTCCGCCTTCGCTCTTTTCCTCCTGCTCCCACCATGTAAGATGTGCCTGCTTCCCTTTCGCCTTCTGCCATGATTGAGTTTTCTGAGGCCTCCCCATACATGCTTCCTGTACAGCCTGTGGAACCATGAGCCAAGTAAACTTTTTCATGAATTACCAGTCTCAGTTATGTCTTTAGAGCAGTACAAGAACAGACTAATTGTACATGTATCTTTTGTGAAACTGCTATTGAAACTACTGTCTTGTTATTTATATCTTAATATGAGTAAGAGAAAGTAGTCTTAGAATTACTTTCAGGAAAACTTCATTCCTGCTCTTTACTGAATATATATATGTGTGTGTGTGTGTCTATACACACACACATATATATATGTTTATACACACACATATATATGTTTACCCTATATTACTAGGGATAAAACATGCTGTGTAGATAGATTCCCTTTGTACCTTGATTGCCAAGAAGCGTAAGTACCTTGAGCTTAGGGTTTTCTGGTATAATTTTATACCTTCGTTTAATTTTATGTGCTTAAGTCACCCTCAGAGCTTTTTTTTAGCAAATGAAATATAATAAGATAATACATGAGGCCGGGCATGGTGGCACAATTCACTGGAGTCCCAGCTACTCAGGAAGCTGAGGTGGAAAGATCGCTTGACACCAGGAGGGCGAGGCTGCAGTGAGCTATGATCGTGAGCCACTGCACTCCAGCCTGGGTAACAGAGTGAGACCCTGTTTCTGGGGGGGAATAAAAAGAAGAAATTATTAAGTAGCTTTTAGTTTAGCCAAAAGAATTCTCTGAATGAGAATTGCATGTTGTTCATTTGAATGTAAGCATTTTATTGCTACCCAAGTTCACAATCTGTTTGTCAACTGAAATGCTTTGAAATTGACCTAATCACTAAGTTTTTTTTCAGCTGAATTGTAATATTTAAGATAGACAGAAAATCTTAGTGATTATGGGTAAGTTTGGGAGATGTGTCCAAAATAAACTAAAATTTTTTAAAAAGAGAAGGAAATATTTATTACATGTTTATTATATGATGTATTTTTCTTAGTCATCACAAGAGCCCTAGTTTATTGTTTAACAGATTCATTATCCCCATATTTCAGCTGTGAAAACTATAGCTCATTCATGTAAAATTGCTTTCTCAAGGTCTCTTAACTAATAAAAATAGAACTGGAATTTGGATCATTTTTTTCTGAGAAATTACGATAGAACCTTTATTACTGATGTCTCTATTCTGGAAACATTTCGTACTAGAAACATGAACTGTTTCAGTCTCTATCCTATAACTGCTTTGGGAATATTTACCTGCTTCTGTAAATACATCCCAAAGAAATGACTTTTTAGTAAGGAATACAGTAATTTACTTCCTAAAGTCTAGAAAATAAAAAATACTGTACCTTGAGAGGAAACTTTGAAAAATCAATCTGTACCAAGCCAAAGTGGAAATGTACAAGCCTCTTAAAGAAAGTGATGTCTCCAGCTCTGCAAGTTTGGGCAAGTTTTTACAGTTAATAACGTTTGTGAAATTCAACAAATAACTTCTGTTGACAACAGGAGAGTATATGTTATTATTAATCAAGAGAGTGGTTTTAATTTTATTGCTCTCCTGAACAAATACCCTTGAAGATGATTTCTTCTTAAACTCTTCTTACATTCTTACTTTTTCTGTTTCCCCCATCATTCCCTTTTCTTTTTCCCAACTCTACAGCCATGTAGTCTTTTGCAGAGGCTACATGAGGATTGGAGAAGTGGGGGAAATTTTGAAGACAGTTGTAAATTTATACTGGCAGTGCTGTTATTTCACTATTTTGTTTTTATGCATTTCTGAATGAAAAAATATACATATGTGTGTTACTCTGTTCTCATACTGCTAATAAAGACATGCCTGACACTGGGTAATTTATAAAGGAAAGAGATTTAATTGACTCACAGTTCAACATGACTGGGAAGGCCTCAGGAAACTTAGAATCATTGCAGAAGGGGAAGCAGACACATTCTTTACATGGCAGCAGCAAGGAGAAGTGTCGTGCGAAGGGTAGGGGAAAGCCTCTTTTGAAACAATCAGATCTCGTGAGAACTAACTCACTGTCACAAGAACAGGATGGAGGAAACCACCTCCGTGATACAGTTATCTCCATCTAGTCCCTCCCATGACGTGGGGATTTTGGGAGCTATAATTAAGATGAGATTTTGGGAGGAAATACAACCAAACCATATCAATGTGGCATAGAGGTTGAGTATAGGTTCCGGTTTTAGATAGCCTGTATTCACATCCTAGCTTTTCTTTCCACTTAGGCAAGTTAAGTAAATTCCCTGTACTTCAGTTTCATCATTTATAAAATGAGAGTTGAAATAGTAGGAAAGCCTGGGATTGTTGCCAGGAAAAATTAAGGCACTTAAGACATGCCTGTCACATAGGAATAATTCAGGACTGGTGCCGTGGCTCACTCTTGTAATCCCAGCACTTTGGGGTGCAGAGGTGGGAGGTTTGCTTGAGGCCAGGAGTTAGAGGCCAGCTTGGTTGACATAGCAAGACTGTCTCTATAAAAAATAAAAAATCCGGCTGGGCATGGTAATAGTTGATAATAGTGTTGGCCTGTAATCCCAGCACTTTGGGAGGCTGAGGCAGGTGGATCACCTGAGGTGTTGAGACCAGCCTGGCCAAAATGGCAAAGCCCTGTGTCTACTAAAAATACAAAAAATTAGCCGGGCGTAGTGGTGTGCGTCTGTAATCCCAGCTACATGGGAGTCTGAGGCAGGAGAATCGCTTGAACCGGGAGGCAGAGGCGGCAGTGAGCCGAGATCACGCCACTGCACTCCAGCCTGGGAGACAGAGTAAGACTCCGTCTCAAAAAAAATAAAAAATAAATCATTCAGTACATGGGAATGTCTCTTCCACCTAACTTTGTCCAATTAGGGCAATAGTTCACAACTCTGGCTATGTATTAGGAGTCGTGCAAGGAGCTTTTAAAAAATACAAATCCAGCAAGGCACTGTTCCTCACACCTGTAATTCCAGAACTTTGGGGAGTTGATGTGGAAGGATCACATGAGGCCAGGAGTTCAAGACCAGCCTGGGCAACATAGCAAGACTCTGTGCTACAAAATATGTGTATATAACACATCCGCCCCTACTATTCTAATGATTAAGCCTTCGATAGGGATGGGGATCAGATTTTCCCTATTATTTACTTGTGTATTTGTTTATTTGTAAATGCCATGAAGTTTTATTTTTTATTTTTATTTATTTTTCCATCTGTTTTGTTCACTGCTGTATCCCCAATACCTGGAATAATGCCTGACACATTAAGTAGCCACTCAATATTTTTTTAATGAAAAAAAATGAATTATCTGTGGATTCTCAGTGGTTTATCTCCTTGCTTGCCATAATTTTTTTTTTTTTTTTTAATTTACAAAGGTAAAATTCATTCTTTTTGCTGAACGGTTCTATTAATTCATGGTCAAATCCTCCCCTTAACCCTTGGCAACCACAGATTTATTCTTCATCCTTAGAATTTTGGGTTTTCCAGAGGGTCAAATAATTGAATCATACACTATGTACCTTTTTGAATCTGGCTTCCTTCACTTGTAATGCATTTGGAGCTCATTCGTGTTAAGCATATTAATAGTTTATTCTTACAAGTGGTATTCCATTGAATGGAACAAATATGTCAACAATCTTGCACTGTTTTATTCTTTTTGATCTTTAGCTTTCCAGAGTGTTGAATCTTCCACCAGAAAACTTGATCACGTCAATATCTGCAGTTCCAATTTCCCAGAAAGAGTTAAGTATAATATGCTTGTAACAATCTAAAATGTTGCTGACTTTGTTGTTATACCAAAAAAGCAAAAAAGAATTGTTACTCTTCAATTTGTGGAATAGTCCTCGAAATTAACTATAAGATATGATTCGTTATATTCAACCTATTACTCCTATTGACTTTAATAAAATTAAAATCTGTATTTTAAATACTCTGATATGGCAGATTATATATTCTTATGTTCATTATTTTTGTTATGATAGTAACTGTAATTGTAGCAAAGTCTTTGGGAACGAGGTTCAAATTCAATTCTGTAACAATAAATAACTAAAATTGTAATTAGAATCTCAGGGTTTTTGAAGGGATATTAAAGATTGTACAACCATCTGGTGCTTGAATACTGTTGTACCATATTTATCTACTAGGTTTTTAATGTTGTGTTTGTTTATTGAGTTTCCTTTTGAGTACTCCCAGTGATAGAAAACTGTTGGTTAGGACTACACACAACTTGTAGTTGCTTTCTCCGTTATAGAGAGATAATCTCTTTGTGAGTTTGGTCATCCTAAAGATTCTTGTTTACCATTTGGGTAGAAAACAGCAATTCGTGGATGAAGTATTCTCTTGTCAATTAATAATGACAAGAAATTAGCTACATATTAGGCATTTAAGCCCTAAGCTTTGAAAAGAAGTAAAGATATAATTACCAGTACCATTATGTCCTTGTATTTTATTACTTAACTTTGTCAGGACTTTAAGAGTAGAATGAATATTCTTCTCAGGATAGAACAAAGAAGTAAGTGGAAAAGAAAGAGAAAGGCTACGTTTGGCCTTCTAGTAAAAGCACCTTTAAAATGGCCCACTGCAGCTTTTTATATATATTGACTTTCTGTAAGAGAAGCAACCACCACCAAGAGGATCTCATGATTATATGTAAATAGATGTAACCTTCCAAACTAGTTGCCTGTTTCATAAAATCTGTAAATGACATTCTGCATAATAAGGGAAATATTACTGGTTTGGTGTTTATTTGTTTTGAGACCAGGTCTCATTCTGTTGCCCAAGCTGGAGGGCAGTGGTGTGATCTTGGCTCACTGCTGCCTCAAACTCCTGTGCGCAAGTGATCCTCCCATCTCAGCCTCCAAAGTAGCTTGGACTACAGGCTCATGCCACTATGCCTGGCTGACTTTTTTGTATTTGTTATAGGATGGGGTTTAGTCATGTTGCCCAGGGTGGTCTTGAACTCCTGAGCTCAGGCAATCCACCTGTCTTGGTCTCCCAAAGTACTGGGATTACAGGTATGAACCACCACACTCAGCCTGTTTGTTTCTGTTTTCATTTGATGTGTCAAAGGCCTTTAAGAAGCTGAACCATCTTGGCCCATCTTTTGAAGAGTATTTCGTTTGCCTGCTTCCACTTTAACAATCTGAAGTATTGACTTTAGTTTATAGAAAATAAATATTGGGGCCAGGCGCGGTGGCCCACGCCTGTAATCCCAGCACTATGGGAGGCTGAAGTGGGCAGATCACAAGGTCAGGAGATCGAAACCATCCTGGCTAACATGGTGAAACCCCGGCCCTACTAAAAATACAAAAAGTTAGCCAGGCATGGTGGCACGTGCCTTTAATCCCAGCTACTCGGGAGGCTGAGGCAGGAGAATCGCTTAAACCAGGAAAGCAGAGGTTGCAGTGAGCCGAGATCTCACCACTGCCCTCCAGCCTGGGTGACTGAGTGAGACTCTGTCTCAAACAAACAAAAAAAAAGAAAAGAAATATTGGGGAGGGCCTCAAGATTTTTCTGGCCTACAAATCTGAAATTCTTCATATTAAGTTTGCTTAAAACAAAGGGAATCTTTACTGCTTTGCCATAATAAATTCAGGTTTCCTTTATAGTATGTAACTAAGCCTACCTGTTCGGTATTTCTGACTTTATTCCAGAATGTTTATAAGCGCCAGGAGAATTAAGAAATACTATTTTTGTTAACATGGTTTAATTAATATAATGAATTACTTTGATCTAATTCTGTTGATTTTATTTTCTGTCTACTATCTGATGGTAGTAAACAGAATTAACAACTTTATTATAAGCCAGTGGCTATCAAGTCTGCGGATTTCATGCTGACCAATATTACAAATCCTCAGACATAGTGGGAAAATAACTATTGCTTAAAAAAAATTTTTTTTTAAGTATAAAGAATGAACATACAGGGACTAGTCTAATGAACCCTATGTGTGCCCATCACTCACCATCATCTGTATGGGTCCAGTTGTTTGTTTGTTTGTTTGAGACGGAGTCTTGCTCTGTCATTCAAGCTGGAGTGCAGTGGCACGATCTCGGCTCACTGCAACTTCCACCTCCAGGGTTCAAGTCATTCTTCTGCCTCAGCCTCCCCAGTAGCTGGGATTACAGGCACACACCACCATGCCCAGCTAATTTTTGTATTTTTGGTAGAGACAGGATTTCACCATGTTGGCCAGGCTGGTCTCGAACTCTCGACCTTGTGATGCACCTGCCTTGGCCTCCCAAAGTGCTGGGATTACAGGCTTGAGCCACCGTGCCCGGCCCAGTTTTGTTTCTCTTACACCGCATCCACTCTCCGTGTCCACTTTTTTTTTTTTTTTTTTTTTTTTTTTTTTTTTTGGAGACAGGATCTCGCTCTATTGGTCGCTGAGGCTGGAGTGCAATGGCAGAATCATGGCTTACTGCAGCCTCAACCTCCCAGGTTCAAGCTATCCTCCCATTTCAGCCTGCCAATTAGCTGGGACCAGAAGCGCAGGCCAGCACACTTGGCTAATTTTTAAAATTTTCTGTAGAGACAGTGTCCACCTACGTTGCCCAGGCTAGTCTTGAACTCTTCAGCTTAAGTAATTCTCCCACCTTGGCCTCCCACACTAGAATTATAGGCATGAGCCAGTGTGTTGGGCTCTCCTCATCCACAGTTGTTTATTTTGATATCTACTGCATTTCATAGCCTAGATGTTTTGCCTTTTGAAAGGTTTTTTTTTAAAATTTATTTTTCTGTTATAAAAGCAAAACAGATAATCTTCTTAAGGAAATTCAGGAAAATACAGAAGAATAAGAAAAGATAAAAGCCCTCAATAGTCTTACTATAGTAAGACAACTGATTTTAGCAAGTTGATGTACTTTTTACTTTTTTCTTGCCTTTAAAAAGACATAGCTATAAAACTACATAGAAATATGTAAGATTTTTGAATCCTTTTCCTGACATAATTCTTTTTTTTAATGAATATCTCTTTTAACAATGTTGTAACATTCCCTTGTTGATAGACATTTAGATTGTTTTCATTTTTTAATATGAATTTTTTTCTTAGAGATTGGGTCTTGCTATGTTGTCTAAGCTGGTCTTGAACTCCTGAGCTCAAGCAGTCCTCCTGCCTTGGCCTCCCAAAGTGCTGGAATTACAGGCATGAGCCACTGTACCTGCCCAAAGTATAATACATAGTAGGCTGCTGGTTGATGTATTAAGGCTCAGGAAAATTCTTAATGGTGATTGTAGACTAGGTTTTTAAATGTGATGTTAACCAGAAGTCACACAGGAATTTTTAGTTATTTCCCTGAGTTTCGTAAGTGTTAATGAAGGAAATAATTTGTGCCTCCTCAAAAATAAGTCTTTTCATTCCAGTGACAGATGGGCTGGATAAATAATGTTTCAACCCTCTTACTCTGCCTATCGAGTCTCATTCTCTAGTTCCACATTAAACACCAGAAGATAAATTAATGTGAATAGTTATAATAGATGCTTATATGTTGATTTAAAAAATTTTTTTTGCACCTTGAACTATTTCAAACCTACAGAAAAATTCATAGAGAATGATGTAATGAGTACTCTCATGGTCACTTTCTAAGCTGTCAAGTCCTTTTTCCAAATGTACTTCAAGTCTTATTTTGTAGGGAAAGGAAGGGCTTTTGATTTTTATTAAGCATTACAGATAATGTTGAAATCACTGATATGTATTTGTTTGACTTCATTCCCTACCCTGCTTTCCTAGAGAGAACTGATCTCATGATGCAAATGATTTATTTTCACTAATCAGTTGCTTTGTGTTTGTTTCTTTGTTTTTGTATTGTTTTTTCACCTACCCAGTGAAAAGAATAAATGGCATTGTCTGTCTTTTTAATGAACTGCTGAGTGTTAAGAATAATATTCTTCTTTTTCTCATGTCGAAACTCAAATTACAACATTAAAAAAATACATCATTTGGAGGTCAGTGGAAGGGTTTAAATGAAGCACACCTTTGGAGTAGTAGAGGAAGCGTTGTAGAAGAGGTCAAGAGACCTGGGCCCTTTTCTCAATCTGTGTTTATTTGCCGTAGGATTTTAAAGGAGACGTTTAGCTTGCCAGACATCAGTTTTCATGTCTATAAAATAAGGTGACTGCTCTACCTGTTTCACAGAGATACCATAAAGCTACATTTGGGTAATAGAAGAAGAAGAATTTTTTGAGATGCCGTCTTGCTCTGTCACCCAGGCTGGTGTGCAGTGGCACGATCTTGGCTCACTGCAACCTCTGCCTCCCGGGTTCAAGCAATTCTCGTGCCTCAGCCTCCCGAGTAGCTGGTGTGCGCCCCCATGCCCAGCTAATTTTTGTGTTTTTAGTAGAGATGGGGTTTCTCCATGTTGGCCAGGCTGCTCTCAAACTCCTGACCTTAAGTGATCCACCTGCCTCGGCCTCTGAAAGTGCTGGGATTACAGGCGTGAGCCATCGCACCTGGACAGAAGAGGAGGAATTTTATAAGACGATAAGAAAAATATTCCAAATAAATACTAGGTTATTTCTAATTTTCTTGGTTTTAATTTTGTTTTTTTTTTATTTATTTTATTTTATTTACTTTTTTGAGACGGAGCTTCACTCTTGTCACCCAGGCTGGAGTGCAGTGGCGTAATCTTGGCTCACTGCAATCTCCACCTCCAGGAGTCAAGCGATTCCCCTGCCTCAGTCTCCCAAGCACCTGGGACTATAGGTATACACCACCATGCCTGGCTAATTTGTGTGTGTGTGTTTTTAGTAGAGATGGAGTTTCACCAGGTGGCCAGGCTGGTCTAGAACTCCTGACCTCGGGTGATCTGCCTGCCTCGGCCTCCTAACGTGCTGAGATTACAGGCATGAGCCACCACTCCTGGCCCCTTGCTTTTAATTTTGAAAGTACACAGAACACCTTATTCTGGTAAAGGTATGTCTCAATAGAGAACTCATAGTGATGAGTCTTTGTTACACAACTAATTCTTTTAAGGTAACAGGTCTACCTCGTTTCAATGTCTGTCTTTAGAGAAGTAGCTGATTTTCAGCTTTCTGTGGATTCTTTGTTGGAAGAAGACAATGACCATTCAAGACCAGATATTCAAGTTCAAGCCAAGAGACTAGCAGAGAAGGTACTTTAGCACTATTATCTTTTTGACATTGTAATAAACTTGTTATTTAAAAAAAAATACTCTGCAGGCTATCTCAGCCATAATAGTGAATTTAATAGTGTTTCTTTGTTCGAGGCATCTTGTGTAATATGATTTAAATTCATTTTAGCCACATACTATAAGGTTATAATGATTTTTCAAATTAGTTATAAAGCATTCCTCTTGAGCTGACATTGTTCAATTTTTTGATTAACCACTTACAGGAAGACTGAAGTGTTAATTAAATTTACACATTGAATCTGGATGGACTTTTGAATTTAGGAGAACAAGCTTGATAAATTAGAGCAGTGAGTTGCAATTTTTAAAATGAGTTTTTGAAAAGATGAACATTAAAATATGAGAAGAATTGATGAGATGTAAATAGAATCATGATTACAGAGAAGAGGTGGTTAGATGATTATAATAAGCCTCTTTCATTTCTAAGTTCTCTGATGGGTTTGATATCTAAAAGAGGAATTGAAAGGATTGTAAGGAATTACTAAATATAAATTGTTAGTGTAATTCCCTCAGAAAAGGCAGATATGTTGGACAAGCATATTAACATATGTCACAGAGGCAGTGTCTGGGAACTCTAAAGAACTGGAACAATGAAAGTCACTATCATAGAAAGAGATGCTTATTTACAGGATGAGTATAATAAAGGAGCATTGGTAGCTTAGTAAATATTTATTTGATCAGAAAATCACTCCCAGATATTTACCAGGAATAGAATTATTCAAAATATAATAATTATTTCCTTTTCCCCATTTCTTATAGGTTCTTAAAAATAAAGACTAGTTGCTCTTTAGTGACAGCAGATAATCTCTTCAAGTTCCATAGGTTTTTCATGAGATGGGTTCAGACATCTAATAGGTTAAAAAGTGAAGGCATATGCATAAGACGAACTATCTAAATTACATCTTATCTGTTGGTGCAGGTGCTTTAGCGTAGACCCTGACAGAATGTCATGTTCTGTGGCTCTCATGAAAGCTAGGTGAGATAAAAAGTGTTCATCGTATGTCAGAGTAGGTAGAATATGGGTAGAGTGATTTTTCTTACTTGTTAAAAGGTGAATTTGAGGGGAGGGAAAGGGAATGAGGAAGAGAGAGACTAAATACAGAATAGTATGTTAATTGGGAAAAAAAGAGAATGTGTTTACTTAAATAGAATTATGGAACTAAAGAGATTGCCTAAGAACTAGGATCCCATATAGGGACCAGGAAAGATGACTGACTTGTGTCTTTGTAAGCCAAAAATAGTATTAGAACTACATATCTTATTAGGCCTATTATATAACATACCTACTTTGTGCGATTTGTTCTTTTCAGCTAAGATGTGATACAGTGGTGAGTGAAATCAGTACTGGTCAAAGGACTGTAAATTTCAAAATAAACAGAGAGCTCTTAACAAAGGTAAGAATAAGTTAATATCCAGCCATTGTGCTTTCATTCTCTCTGCTTCAGCCACAGTGGTCTTCCTCCAGTTCTTAAATTCATTATACCTCCTCTAGCCTCAAAACCTTTGCACACACTGATCCATAACTTGGGGAGTGCCACCCCGAGTTAACACCTGCTCATCCTTTAAATCTTGATATTTCTTTGGCAGTACCTTTCTGACCCCTTCATTTATATGCTCTCGTAGCACTGTACAGTCATATACCACATAATGACATTTCATACGCAGTGTGTATAGATGATGGTCCCATAAGACAATATCATATTTTTTCTGTGTTTAGATATATTTAGGTATACAGACACTATTGCATACAGTATTCAATACAGTAACATGCTGTACAGATTTGTAGCCTAGGAACAATAGGCTATAACATACAGCCTAGGCGTGTAGTAGACTATATCATCTAAGTTTATAGAAGCACTTGGGAGGCCGAGGCAGGAGGATCACTTGAGCCTGGGAGTTCGAGACTGCTCCTGGCAGCATAGCGAGACCCTAGCTCTACAAAAAAATTAAAAAATTAGCCAATGGTAGTTTGCGCCTGCAGTCCCAGCTACTCTGGAGGCTGAGGTAGGAGGATCACTTGAGCTTGGGAGGTTGAGGTTGCAGTGAGCTGTGATTGTGCCATTGCACTCCAACCTAGGTGACAGAGCGAGACCTTTTCTCAAAAATTTCAGTGGCCATGAATTTTCAAGCTTTATTTCAATTAACAAACTAAAGAATTTTTTTCTAATTTGAGGATACCCATTAGCTCACTTATTAAAAATATTCCCAAATCCTTCTCAATTGACAATGCAGGGACAAGGGTCAGGGCTTTGAAGTCCAGCTACTCTTTCGCATAGGGGAATTCTTCCGTATTGCAGCCTTGAGGATCTGAATCTTAGTGGGAATTTGATTAAAGGAGCAAGCAGTCTGCTTACAGTTGCCCTGCTTAGTGTCACAGTAAAGCCAGATCCTAGAGCAGTGAGCACTCATGTTCAGAAAAGGACTATTGAATGTACCTCTACTATGTGTTACAATTTTAATGATAATTCTTCTTTACTCAAAACTTAATTTATTCTACATTTGGCTGTCAACCTAAAAGGAGGAAACTGAGGCAAAATTAATATAAGTAGAGAGTTTACTTGGGCCAAGCTTAAGGATTGCAGCTGAGGAGCACAGATTCAAGTTGCCCTGAATATACCCTTTGATCGGCAGCAGTTACAAGTGGATTTTTAAAGGGAAAGAAGAGGGAGTTTGAATTGTTAACCAGAATTTACATTAAAATAATGTAAACTATTGATAGGCTGTGTATTTTTCTTTGTATCACAAATTCCAGTAACATGAAGATAACGTGTGAGGCAGCTAGTTGGGAACAAAATCACATAAAACAATTGTCCCCAGCCATATGAGGGAGAGTTTGTGCGTAACTGATGTCTGATAGGCATGTCTTTCTGGGCCTGCATACCTCACATAGCTGAGATTACTCTGAGCTATTTTTCTTTTCTCAAGCTTATAGCATCTGCTTTTCTCACATATTGTATCTCTAGTTTTATAATTTTAACTGTTTTACAGTCCATTTTTTAATAAGTAGGATAATACTCTAAAATAATAAAAGTAAATACATAAATCACTAACGTAGTCATTTATAATGAAGTATTATGTACTGTACATAATTGGATGTGCTATACTTTTATACAACTGACAGTGCAGTAAGTTAGTTTACAGTATAATTTTTAGATCTCAGATGGTGGTCCTTTGCATGGTTTTTTTTGAGACGGAGTTTTGCTCTTGTTGCCCAGGCTGGAGTGCAGTGGCACGATCTTGGCTTACCGTAACCTCTACCTCCCGGGTTCAAGCGATCCTCCTGCCTCAGCCTCCCCGGGTAGCTGGGATTACAGGCATGTGCCACCATTCCCGGCTAATTTTATATTTTTAGTAGAGACGGGGTTTCTCCATGTTGGTCAGACTGGTCTTGAACTCCCAACCTCAGGTGATCCACCCACCTCACCCTCCCAAAGTGCTGGGATTACAGGCGTGAGCCACCACGCCTGGCCATCATTTGCATGTTTAATGGATTTTTCAGATCCCATCAAGAAAAAAAATTCAACTCTTGTTAGGACCAACAAAGAATTAATAAAGCTTTGCTTGAGAAGTAACCATAATGGCATTGCGAAGAACTGTCACTTTGGTACCAAACTTCTACCTGTCAGTAGCTTGCAGTACTTTCAAGAGAAACTGTAACTTCAATTAATATTTAATTGTTAAAAGGGAAAAAAGAAAGTATGGTCTAAACTAAATAGAAAAAATGCGAACAAAACCCTCTTTTCTTAGGGATGCTTCAAAAATACACAATGGATAACATCATTTTATTTTACACTTTTCAGTTTGCCAAGTTAAACTTTGCATGTTTTACCAAAAGTAAAAGAAAAAGATACTCATTTAAATGGCTCCAGTTCTGCTCCAGTGGCTGCATCTATTTCACTAATAGACATTTTTCCCATAGGCAGTGGATGCATTCAAGTCACATGTAGTTTCTGTAAATAGGAATGAATGATTTTAAGCACTTTTCAACTGCTGACCAAAGAATTAACAGGTAGGGTAGTAGTGATAACTTCCTTATACATAGGGAGGTGAGTGATGGCTTGCTTGGTAGTCCTGACCAGAGCCATAAAGAAATAATTAACCAACAAAGAGTTAGATAAAATAACAAAACTTGTCTACAGAAAAAGACAATGGTGATAAAGTACCAGTTAATTGGAATATTCATTAATTGCTAAGCATTCCAAAAAGTGAAACCTTTGAAAGATTCCATTCTAATTAAAAGCCTTTTATGCACCAGTATTTACATTACTGAATACAACTTACGTTTAAACATACATACTGATAAATAGATGGGCCTCTAGCTTATTCATCTGTTAGAATATCTGGGAACATTTGTAACTCACTGACATTCTGCAGTTAAAAGCTTTCATTTGATTTAATAAATCTGCTTATTATTTGCCAGAGTCTAAATTACTGATATCTAAAGATAAAGTGGCTTGAATCTCAACCTCAAGGAGCTTGCAATGTAAAAGAAAAGCATTAAAAAAACCTCAGTGTAACATGTAATGGAAACAATAATGTGACGAGTATTATAATGGTGGCATATTTAAGATGCAACCTTAGTGTAAAAAGGGGTACATATATGTGTATCTTGAGGAAGGGACATAACCTTGAATTGGAATGAAGATTAAAAATATATCTGGGAGATACAAGAACAGGCATTCCAGGCAGAGGGGATGGCTTGGGACAGAGTACAGATAGTCAGAAACATGGCATCATCTGGAAATTAGCAGACAGTTGAGAGTATGGTTTGCGCATAGATGGCATGGGGGAGGATAAGAAATTAGTGTGAAAGGCCTTCTGTTCTTTGCATAAGAGTTTCAGCTTTTTCCTATAAGTCATCATTTTCCATGTTATGTGTATCACAGGCAGCACGTATGATGATTTTTGGTAGTATACAGTGAAACTTATTTCATTTTAATAGATATTGATTGGCAGAAAAACCTAGCACTTCGAACTTGTGATTTTTATGGATATTAGAATATGCCTTTTTTTTTTCCTGTTTTTTGGAGATAGGGTCTTGCTTTGTCACCCAGGGTGGAAAGCAGTGGTGTGATCATAGCTTATTGCAGTCCCAACCTCCTGGGCTCAAGCAATCCTCTCGCCTCAGCCTTCAGAGCAGCTAGGACTAACAAGCGCAAGCCTCCATGCCCAGGCAGTTTTAAAAATTTTTTAATAGAGATGGGGTCTTCAGCAGGCTGGTCTTATACTCCTGGCCTCAAGTGATTGTCCTGCCTGGGCCTCCCAAGCATGAACCACCATGCCCAGCCTATGGTATGCCTTTAAACAAATAAATTTCAAAAAAGTTCAAAAAAAACAAAAGTGATAGGCGTGTGTCAGGTAAAAGTCAGATTATAAATTGATAAATATATTTTTAAATTTCTTTTTTTTTTTCCTTTAGAGATGGAGTCTCTGTCACTCAGGTTGGCGTATAGCATCATCATCGTAGCTTACTGCAGGGCTTGACCTGCTGGGCTCAAGTAATCCTCCCATCTCAGCTTCCAAAAGTAGCTGGGAATACAGTCACAGGCCACTACACTTGGCTACTTTTTAAAAAATTTTCAGTGATGGGGTCTTGCTATGTTGTACAAACTGATCTCAAACTCCTGGCCTCTAGCAGTCCTCCCAGCTCAGCCTCCCAAATTGTTGGGATTGCAGGTGTGAGACACTGCACCTAGTTGATAAAATCTCTTAAACCGTTCGAATCATTGAAGGGTTTGAATAAAATACACTCGATTAAATGTATATGCTATGTAAAAAGATAGTTAGGTGTTATTGTTTTATTATATAGTCATGTGTTGCTTAACAATGGGATACATTCATAGAAATGTGTCCATAGGTGATTTTGTTATTAAAGGACATCATAGAATACTTACCCAAACCTAGATGATAAAACCGACTACAGAGACCTAGGCTATAAACTTGTACATCATGTAAATACCAAATACAGTATTTGTGCAATTGTGACACAGTGATATTTGTATCTTAACCTATCTAAACATAGGAAAGGTACAGTAAAAATACAGTATTAAATATAAAAGATGCTATACCTGTATTGGGCATTTACCGTGAATGGAGCTTGCAGGACTGGAAGCTGCTCTGGGTGAGTGAGTGATGAGTGCATGTGAAGGCCTCAAATATTACTGTACACTACTGTAGACATTACAAACACTGTACACTTAGGTTACAATGGGTTTATAAAAACATATTTTTCCTTGTACCGTAACTTCAGAATAAAATAACAAAAATTTAAAAAAATATTTTTCTTGGCTCGACATGGTGACTCACGCCTGTAATTCCAGCACTTTGAGAGGCTGAGGCAGGAGGATCACTTGAGCCCAGGAGTGCTGGGGCTGCAGTGAGCTAGGATCACACTGCTGTACTCCAGCCTGAGTGACAGAGCGAGACCCTGTCTCTATTTTTTTTTTTTTTTGAGACAGAGTTTCGCTCTTGTTGCCCAGGCTGGCGTGCAATGGCACAGACTCAGCTCCCACCTCCGCCCCCCAGCTTCAAGCGATTCTTCTGCCTCAGCCTCCCAAGTAGCTGGGATTACAGGTGCACGCCACCATGCCTGACTAGAGACCCTGTCTCTAAAAAAATAAATATTTTTCTTTCTTCAATAATAAATTAACCTTAGCTGACTGTAACATTTTTATTCTGTAAACTTTTTCATTTTTTAAACTTTTTTCTTCTATTTGTTTTTCTTTATATCTCAGCTTAATTTTTTAACTTTTGAACTCTTTTGTAATAGCAGCTTAAAACACATTATACAACTGTACAAAAATATATCCTTATTCTGTAAGCTTTTTCTAATTTTTTTAATTTACTTTTTAGACTTTTTTGTTAAAAGCTAAGACACAAACACATTAGCCTCAGCCTACACAGGGTCAGGATCATCAATATCACTGTCTTCACCTCCACATCTTGTCCCACTGGAAAGTCTTCGGGGGCAATAACACACATGAAGCTGTCATCTTCTATGATGACAGTGCCTTCTGGAGTATCTCCTAAAGGACCTGCCTGAGGCAGTTTTACAGTTAATTGTTTTCAATAAGTATAAGGAGTACACTTTAAAATTATGATTTAAAAATATAGTAGATTAAATACATAAATCAGTACAGTCCTTTATTATTATCAAGTATTATGTGGTGTACATAATTGTATGTGCTATTCTTTTATAAGACTGGCAGCCTAGCCTAGTAGGTTTGTTTACATCAGCGTCACCACAAACATGTGAGTACTGCAGTGCACTAGGCATTATGACCTGCTGCAACATTGCTGGGTGATAAGAATTTTTCAGCTCTGTTACAGTCTTAATGGGACCACCATTGTATATATGTGGTTCATCATTGACTGACACATTGTTATTTGGTGCGTTACTGTACTCCAGCCTGAGTGACAGAGCGAGACCCTGTCTCTATTTTTTTTTTTTTTTGAGACAGAGTTTCGCTCTTGTTGCCCAGGCTGGCGTGCAATGGCACAGACTCAGCTCCCACCTCCGCCCCCCAGCTTCAAGCGATTCTTCTGCCTCAGCCTCCCAAGTAGCTGGGATTACAGGTGCACGCCACCATGCCTGACTAGAGACCCTGTCTCTAAAAAAATAAATATTTTTCTTTCTTCAATAATAAATTAACCTTAGCTGACTGTAACATTTTTATTCTGTAAACTTTTTCATTTTTTAAACTTTTTTCTTCTATTTGTTTTTCTTTATATCTCAGCTTAATTTTTTAACTTTTGAACTCTTTTGTAATAGCAGCTTAAAACACATTATACAACTGTACAAAAATATATCCTTATTCTGTAAGCTTTTTCTAATTTTTTTAATTTACTTTTTAGACTTTTTTGTTAAAAGCTAAGACACAAACACATTAGCCTCAGCCTACACAGGGTCAGGATCATCAATATCACTGTCTTCACCTCCACATCTTGTCCCACTGGAAAGTCTTCGGGGGCAATAACA